ACAACTAAACATCACACCAAGCAAAGTCAATGTGTTTTATGGGTTTGTACATGGTACAGCCCTTCCAAAACTGTTGCAAGGTTGTTCCTGATACGTCACTTGCCTTTATTGTCTGACAAAAAATGCAATTTGAATAATATTTCTTGAAAGTCACTATAACCCCCTGGTCCACAGGCTGGAAAACTGACATAGTATTTGGTGGCAGATATACACTGGGATGAAAGTCATCCATGAATGGAGGGTGGCCGAGAGTATTGTTGAGCAGCAAAAGGATGTTGAATGGGATGTCTTTCTTCAAGCAGTATTTCTCAACTCTGGGATAAAATGGTGCAAAAACCAATTCTGGAAAATGGCCTGTGTAACCTAGGCTTTGGGGTTTCTCTTCCACAAAAAGGAAGAGAGCCCTGGCTTTTTTTAAGGGTTCTTGGGTTCTCTGGATGAGACACTAAAAGATGCTCTGGCTTCATACTGCCAGAAGCACTGCCATCAAACAAAGAGAGTTAGCCTATCCTTTAATGCTTTATAGCCTGGCATCAACTTTTCTTTCTTACTGATACAACTTTGGTCTAAATTTCTCTTCCAGTACAGTCCTCACATCCACATTAAAAACCTGCTATGGTAAATATGTTCCTTCATCAATAATTTCTTAAAACATTTCAGGAAATTTCCAGGCATGTACCATGCCTACACTCGCTGCCTCAGCACTCACCTCTACATTGTGAAGCTTGGCTCTAGCATTGAATCGATCAAAGCAGTCATGGTTGGCTTTAAAAGATGTGCCTTCTGATTCTTCACCATATTTCTTCTTCAAGTCTTCATAAGGCTTTTAACTTTCTCTTGCATCAGCATTAAACTGAGAGCGACTCAGCTGACACTGATCCTGCATTCACATACTGAGAAGTTTCTCCATCTCCTCCATCACTTTTCCACACTTCTTTGGTATTACTGTCAACATCATGTTCCAAGACCGAATGATTCATGTTATAAGAATAAGTGACCTTTACCACCTTTTTGCCTCGCTCCACTCCCTCAGTTATGTTCACTTTTGTTTCCACTGTTCTTGCTTGGTGCTTAGCAGTCCCAGCTACGTCACCGCTGCTTTTGTGCTTGCTTCCGAACATCCTGGGCTTGAAATAAAGATACTGCGCCACTGGACCCTGTGCAGTGCTGTACAGGCAAGCACACAAAGCACAGGCACCTGGAAAGGATGCATGCATGTAACAGCGCACTCCAGACACGTGAGCCAGCTTACATGGCTGGACACGTGAATGCATGCACACATCTGTGAAAATTCGCAGTCAGTATGTAGGGAACATACTATATTCTATAAATGTCAGTTAAGACAAGAGATTGATTTATTCCCTTACTACTTTTTTGTCTACACGTTTTCTATTATTTATGGAGAGAATAATACTGAAATATCCATTATATAGTTGTGGATATTTTTCTACTTCTCCTTGTGGTTCTGGCAGGTTTTGCTTCACATATTTTCAAGTGAGGCCATTAGATGGGTATATATTTAGGATTATTATGCTTTTTTCTTAATGAACTGTCCTGGCCCATTTACAATTATGAAATGAACTTTTATCCCTGATAATGTTCTCTGTTCTAAATCTTAATGCCTGATATTAAAATGGCCACTCCAGCATTCTTTTGATTATAGTGCTGTATATGTTCAGTTCAGTTCAATCACTCAGTTATGTCCGACTCTTTGCAACCTGATGGACTGCAGTTAATATGTGTCTTAGTTTTCTACTGCTAACAAATTAACCATAGTAGCTTAAAACAATACCTATTTATATTCTCACAGTTCTGTGGGTCAGAAGTTCAGGTGAGTTCAACTGGGTTTTCTACTTAGGGTCTTAGAAGAGGAAATCAAGATGCCAGACAGGCCTCTCTCCTATCTGGAGGCTCTGGGAAAGAATCTACCTCCAAGTCCGTTCAGGTTGCTGGTAGAATCTAGTTCCTCACGGCTACAGGTATGAGGTGCCTGTTTTCTTGCTGGCTACAGGCACAATTCTCCTTGTCCCTAGACAACACCTGTCTTCCTTTTCACATAGTCCCCTCCATTTTCAAATCAGCAATGAGTTCTCATGCTTTAAATCCTAACTTCCATAGCTACCAGCCAGAGAAAGTTCAGGTTTTAAAGGGCATGTATGATCAGATAAAGCTCACTGGGATAATCTCTCTTTTGTCATATAACATAAATAATCACAGGAATGATATCCTATTCTCAGGTTCCACTCACACGCAAAGGGGAGATGGTTATATAAGAGTGAGGATGAATGGAGGTTAGTCTTAGAATCTTTCAATCTCTATTTGTACTTTGTATTTAAGGTGGGTTTCTTGTAGACAATATACAGTTGGGTCTTTGTTTTTTATTCCAATCTTACAGTCTCTACCTCAAATTTACATTAAACATGATTGTTCACAGAGCTGGGTTTAAATCTACCATCTCACTTGCTATTCGCTTTGTGTTTGTTTCATCTGCTTTGTGTTCTTCTCCACTTAAAAATTTTTTTTAAACATTGCTATTTCTCCTTATTATGCATTATATTTTCTGCTTCTTTGCATTCTGGGTACTATTTGTTTGGATCCAAGATATTAAAAATTTTATCTTGTTGGATGGATGCTGGTTATTTTTGTATTCCTGCTTCCCAGGTGGCATGTGGTAAAGAATCTACCTGCCAATGCAGAAGATGGAAGAGACGCGGGTTCAATCCCTGGGTGGGGAAGATACCCTAGAGGAGAAATGGCCACCCACTCCAGTATTTTTGTCTGAGGGATAAAAATTCCACAGACTGAGGAGTCTGGTAGGTTACAATAGATGGGGTTGCAAAAAGTCAGACACAACTGAGCATGCGTGTGTGTGCGCATGCGCACACACACACACACAAATACTCTTGTGTTCTGTTCTGAGATGCAGTTAAGTACTTGGAAACAGCTGCTTTCGATTTAGAAGGACAAGAGGATTCATTTTTCCCTTCTATAGAGGCAAACCCATTCTCTGCAGTCTACTCCATGATTTATAACTTTTTCCACTCTGGCTACTGTGAACACATTATTCTTGCTCCTTTATGAGTGAAACCGATGGTACTCATCAGTTAGATCCATTAAACTATAATTTCTTAATAAAACAGTAAACTGTAACCTGCTTTCACTGATCAAGCTCACTTTAATTGTTTTTACAAAAACTCGCAAGTCCTCCAAGTTTCATAAAGTCTAAAAATAAGATATTTTCCTGAGATGTTTTTCAGGAACTTGCAATCAGCTGCATTCAGTTCTAGGTAGAGCTAAGATTAAGACCACTGACTGCCTAATTGGGCTTGGATGAAGTGTCTGCTTGGTGACCTTTGGACGTGAGAGGGCCCACAATTCCGCCCTCAACATGTTAACGCCTCCACTTTCTGAACATGCGTCTTGTGGAGAAGCAAGCAGCTTAGCTGCATCTGCACAAGAATGACTCACTTTCTTCTCATCATCACTTTCCGTGCCCCGTGCTCTGTATACCCTGGACTGCCCTGATTCTTTATTTCCACAAAGACCCCGAGTCCCTTGCTACCAGGTAGGTGAACCCGAGAGCTGTTCTCCCTACTCCTCACTTGGTTGCCTCACAAATAAATCCCTTCCCTGCTGCAAACTTTGCCATCTCAGCATCTGGCTTATAGCACATCTGGCGAATGAACCTGATTTGGTCACATGAACCTAAATGATTGCTCTAATTCCTTTGGATAATTCTTTTCTTGGCCTTGGGTAGCCTGTCACACACATGCACTAGTCAACAGTCAGCTGAAGACTTACAAGAGTCTTCAGCGGTTTCTGTAGATCTCTAGGTCTCTCTCTCTCCTTACGTGCTGCTCATTTCTCTCTGGTCCTCTGCCCTGGAGACTCTGGAGGCCTTGGTCTCCCTGGACTCCAAACTCTTTTCTCAACTAAGGGAGGTTGCCAGGCTTTGCATGGGTCCCCCCTTCTGTGCTGTGTCTTGGAAACTCTCTCAGTACAGTAAGCTGAGGAAAACACAGGGCTCATTTCATTTGTTTCAGACTTCTCAGGGATCACTGTTCTTCACTGCCTGGTGTCCAACGTTTTGAGAACCACTGTTTCATATATTTTGTCAGGGTTTTGGTTCATTTAAATGGAAAGGTAAGTCTAGTCCTTGTTATTCCATCTAGGCCAGTAATGAAAGTTCTGGTATTTAGGTTTTATTCTCTTTAAATGTCACCATAGTTTTAGAAGAGCTGGCAAGTATTAATAGTAAGGGTTATAGAAAAATAATCCAAAAATCCAAGAATGTAAACATATACCACTGCTCCCCAATTAAAGAAGTTATGTGTCTGTTAGCAAAATAATACACAATAGAGCATTTCCCCCAAACAGTAAGATAGTGCTTTCTAAATTACATTCTAGCCTTAAAAGCTAATAAACCCTTTTTATATCATAAATGACAAAAATTTGTCATGATAAAGAAAACTAATTATGACAAAATAATCTGAATTCATTAGGTCAAATCTATAATATAGTCAGCCCTCTGCATCCACAGGGAGGGAAAACATTCCAGAAAGTTCCAAAAACCAATTTGCTGTGTACCAGCAACTATTTACATAGCATTTATACTTTGTTAGGTATTAAAAAGTGAAGTGAAGTTGCTCAGTTGTGTCCAACTCTTTGCGACCCCGTGGACTGTAGGCCACCAGGCTCCTCCGACCATGGGATTTCCCAGGCAAGAATACTGGAGTAACCAACAAAAGACTTAAAGTATATGGGAAGACACATAGATTATATGCAAATATCATGCCATTTATACAAGGGGCTTGAGCATCCATAGATTTTAATATATGAGAGGGGTTGTGGAACCAAACCCCACATGGACACCAAGGGATGACTATATAAGAAATTTCTGATTTATCAATTTATTTACATTAACATTTTCCACATTATATATATTGACCATAACATATTAAAATGAACACATTTACAAAGTTGACTTAAGGAAATAATACCTCTAAGAAGCCCAGAGTTATCAATGGGTCCAGGATAAACGTTTTGATCTCCCATCTGGTATTTGTCCCAACTGTCAAAGCCAACATACTTTTTCCACTGTTTGAACCAGCGACTATCGACTAGGTACCTAAAAAAGAAGAGAAATTGGTAAAAGAAAATATCAGGAACTTTAAGAATAACAGAAAAGCTATCTGTTTAAAAAACATATATATTTTTAATGTGGACCATTTTGAATGACTTAAATGTTGCTTCTGTTTCATGTTTTGGTTTTTTGGTTGCAAGGCATGTGGGATCTTAGCTCCCCAACCAGGGCTCAAACCTGCACCCCCCACATTGGAAGGTGAAGTCTTAACCAACGGGCCACCAGGGAAGTCCCTCTATTTTTTATATTTCACTTTATATCAGAGTACATGTCTACTTCAAAGGATTACTGAGAATAACTAATGCCACAGTTGTAGAAGAGAAACATTCCACTTGTGTAAGATATCATTTCTATTGTTCTATAAAATATCTACTACAGACAACCACTGGCATACACATTAAACAAAAAATCCTTAATAGAACTTAAGAAAAAATGCAATAGCTGTTCAACACAATATGTGCCAATTGAACAAAAATTCAAATGACAATTACAAGTATCAATCAAGATAAAATTCTACATGCAACATGATAAAATGTTAACATGAAAAATGGTTCTTTTGCAAAACAACTTACAAATACAGTATGCTAATTGTGTGTGTTTTATTGTATCTTTCAGGGAGTAAGGAAAGCAATTATTAAAGGTTTGGAAGATTGATTTTAGTAATTACAGTCAAAGTTTTAAAAGAAACTTTAAAAATAATTAGCTTCTTTACTAACAAAAGTTGATAGCAACAACACTGTCTCCCACTGTTTCTCATACATAAGTAAAATTTGCTGGGGCAAGCAGGGCTGGTTTTTAATTGATTTCAAAAGTGTGAAACCAAGCACTATAACCATTACTGAAACTATATTCACCCAGTTTTCAAATACCTAAATTAGCTTCTCATCAGATGACCAGTGACAGAAAAAGTAAAATAATGGTTCTCTAGCAAAAAAAGCATAAAAAAATTATAAATCTAAAAAAACCATATAAATTTATTTATATTATACCTACCATGCTTTGCCACTGGTTCATAATTATTTTAAATTTTTTTTCCAGAAACATTTCTCCTCACAGTTAACTAGGCTCAATCACAAACAAAAGCAAAGGTTAACAAGATGTTTAAAGTCCACGTGTATAGCCAAGTTTTTTAGAACATCATTCCAATGCTTCCATGCTTACAGCACTATACATAGAGCCCTGTAGGAATGAAATGCTATCTTTATGTCTGAAAACATCTGAAGTAAAGGCACCAAACTAACAGAACCCCACAATTTTTAAGGAATATTCATCAGCAGTTCAGTTTCCTAAAAATGGGTAAGGTAGAATTATCTATACATGAGTATTTCAAACATACTATCAGGATCATACAATGGAATGCCCCCAAATTGTAGATTTTGATGTCTATGAGGAAAAAAGAGAGTTGAAAAACTAAGTTTTAAGAAAACCCTGCTTGTAAGATAAACAAAATAGATTAGACTAGCAACATCTTTATATGTTAAATTGAATAAAGAAAATTAGACTTAATTGTATGCGTGCATGCAGGCTCAGTTGTGTCTGACTCTATGATGCTATGGATGGTAGCCAGCCAGGCTCCTCTGTCCATGGGATTTCCCAGGCAAGAATACTGGAGTGGGTTGCCATTTTGGTCTCCAGGGGATCTTTCTGACCCAGGGATTGAACCTTCAACTCCTGCATTGGCAGGCAGGTTCTCTACCTCTGAGCCACCAGGGAAAACCAATGAAACATGAGGGAAGCAGAAAAAACAGGAGTATCTATTACGGAAATAATGTGTAGTCTTCTTATGTGTACCCTTGAAATTAGATAAAGTGGATATATAAATGAAAATAAAAATATTCCAAGAGATTTACACGGATCTGTTGTACTGTAAAAACTTTATTATAGAGCTGCCCAAACCAAAACACAAGATTCCTCCACTTTAATTCATAAAATTCATTTTAATTCATAATTCACAAAACCAACAGCTCACCAAGATTTTAAGTAAGTGAACAAAGACCTAAATTTATCATACATTTTCAACAGCACTCTAAATCTTTGATACGTTAAGGTCCAGATGCACCCAACTGTAGCTTCTGAGTTTCTTTTTTGAATAGTTTTAACTATTTGTAAAGGTTGATATTTCATGGCTTTTATTCTTGAAATACCAATCTTTATAAATAGTTATAACTGATTTTAAGATGATGTCTAAAATCTATAACTTTGCCTAATATGTCTTGCATGATCTGATCTGCTCCTACCTCCCTCTTTAGTCTTAATTGGTACCATTTTTCTTTTTGCTGACATCTAGTTCCTGGTTCCTGGACACACTATTTTCTGCCTCCTGGCTCCTTCTGCCTCAAACATTCTCCTACTGCTTTCACCACCTTATCTTAACTCTTATCTTTCAGATAATTTAAAGTTGCTTTTCTCAGGGAATCCTTCCAAAAGCTTCTTCCCATTTCCTCTTAGTTTGTAAAAGAAAATACAAGATAGCAATCTCAGTTTACTAACTCTCAAGACTCTTTATTCAGTTACAAGGATTACCTTTAACAATAACAAAATAACTAACATTTGAGCTTTACTCTTGGGCAAGGCAAGTACTTCTAAGCACTTTAATATACTGACTCACTTACTCCTTTAATTACCCAATGAGGTGGGCACTCCTATAGTTCACATGCACAAAGAAATTAACTTGCCCAAGGTTACAAACTTAGTGCCAGACCCGTGACTAAGAACTGCGTTAGCAGCACAGGGAGAAGCGAAAAGACCAACAAAAGCACAAGGAAGCCAGAAGGAGGCTCAGGCATTCAGCACCTGTGGGGCTGTGCGATACGCTGGCAGCTTCCTTACAAACCAGGGTAGAGAGGTCTGGCTATGTACAGGGAAAAAACTAATTAGAGCTCTGCACCTCACAAACACAGTCAGTTCTAACTGAAAAAGTTAAGAAAACCCGAATGTGTTAAACACGACTGCCAATGAGGGAACAGTGACACAAAGTCTGCGTATGCTGAAGCGCGACTTCACTCTATACAGTGCGAGGACTCGGGTAAAGCAGATGAGAGGCCAAGGGGCCCTACCAGGGAGTGCGTCCTTTTACCCCCAGGAGCCTCACGTGTCTCACCCTAGCCCTAACTCCAGAACACACACTAGAAAAGTGTAGAAAACTACCCAGCTATACTGAGGTGCACAGGTATGCACAAAACATACATTTTTACATGTACTTACAGTCACCACATGCATTATGAACTACACTCTCCACATCTGTTACAATTTCTTGGCAGATTTTGGATAACCTTCCTTCTACCATTTCACAATAACTTACAGGCTGCAACGTTTTTGAATCCCACTTCAAGCAAATTTCCTTTTATTAAAAATAAAAATGACATTTTTTGTGGTATTAGTGTGTTTCTCAACTTTTAATAAATGTAAAACTATGCTACCATTTTTATTAGGTGTCTTGTTTTTAAAAAATGGGTCACTGCCAAGAAATTTTCAAGCACTGTGCCCCAACCCTATTTTTCCCATATGCCCTGAGGGTTTTACTGCATGATTTTGCATATAGCACAGTGATTTTCAGGAACACAAGCTCTATTACAGCAAAAACTGTACAAAAATAAATTATAGTTGGATTAAAAATATAAATGTGAAAGCAAAAATATAATTTTTTAAAAGATAATAGAGAAAACTCTTGTTACTTCAGAATATAGGAAGAGTAAAGACAAAAAACAAAAACTCTTAAAAGTAAAGGTTGATAAAATTGCAAGGTTAAAATGAAAAGCTTCTGTTTAACCAAGTAAAGAAAGACAGAGACTGGGAAAAATACTGCCTATAACCAACAAAGGATTAGAATACATGAAAAACTCCTTTAATTTAAAAAGAAAAAAAGGACAATACGCAGGACATCAGAATGGCCTCAATGCAAAGGAGAAAATGTTCTATATCATTAGCAATGTAAAAAATACAAATTAATATCATACCACATCGTTTGCATGAAATTGGTGAACACACAAGCACATGTACATGTGTCAATAATATTGTGTGGAGAAGATGTGTAGTAACTACAGCTCATAAACTATCAACTGGTGTGTAAACTAGAATCCTCATTTTGGAGAATAATTTGGCAATATTTATTAAAGATGAAGATGTGCATAATGCAAAATCACATATTGTCATTGCTAAGTCTTATCATGAGAAACTCTTGCACATATTTACAATACAACTTGTAATGCAGTTACATTATATATAACGCAATGTAAGTAGCAAATGGAAAACTGGAAAAGCTCCCTAGTATCCACTACTCCTATCACGACATATTATAGAAAAACTGAAATGAAAAATACAGCCGCAAGTATTAACATGGATAAATCTAAAAACTGCAATGCTGAATAAAAAAAATAGAAGCTGCAAGAGGATACATGAGTTGGACACAACTGAGCGACTAAACTGAATGTAACACAAATATATTGATACAGATATGTATACACAGTACAACTATAGAAAATTTTTAAACATGCCACAAATAATAATATTCATAGATTCATGTATACGTATTGAAAATATAAGTAAAGGGAATAAGAAAAATCCATTTCTGGAGGGTGGCTCCCTGTGGCAAGAGAGGGAAGGGGTTAGGATGAGGGAAACAGGTACAAGGAGATTCAACTGTATTTGTAAAGTTTTTTTTAAAACTAATAGAGCTTTACACAGGGGTTTTGTTACATTTTTCTCTGTATTCTGTTTTCTGAAATAGTATACTCAATATGATTAATATGTTTCTTATTTAATACAGAATAACGGGCTTCCCTGGTGGCTCAGTGGTAGAGAATCGACCTGCCAATGCAGGAGACACAGGTTTGACCTCTGGGTCACGAAGGTTTCCAGAGAAGGAAATGGCAACCCATGCCAATATTCTTGCCTTGGAAATCCCATGGACAGAGGAGCCTGGCAGGCTATAGTCTATGGGGTCACAAAAGAATTGGACATGACCTGGCAACTAAACAATAACACCG